ACCTACAACACACATGTAAGGTTCGCAATCAGGAGGGTTGTGCGGCTTCTTAGACTTTGCTAAAGCGTACGATCGCGTGTCGTGGGACTACATTAGAAAATTTTGAAATCGTCCTTTCCCTTCCTATACCCCTTCCGACTACTGGAATCGATATCGAGAGGAATGGAGTCAAATTACGTTTTGGTGATTTCTGATCCTTTCCGTTGACAGTTTCAACTTCAACATTGTACCAAGAACCACAGCGATGGTCACTTTTTCATTCACTTCCTGCTCAAAATGCTCTCCGTCCACGACATCATTACCTTGCTTCCTTTCGCGAGAATAAAAAAAGTTCACGTGATTTCCTCATGCGTATGTACTGTACATCATGCAGTACATTCAACCACCGATCATCCCAATTGTCGTATTTTGCCTCGACAAGCACCCTCATTCAAATGCAATCTTGGACTTCCGTTTTGACGTTGGTGGTATACAAACGCTTGGCTTCTTACTCGGATTTCCTGCAACCATCATCACATCTGGTGGATCACGTGTTTGTTCGGACGAAGCAATGTGTATCCTGCTCAGACGGTTGACCTTCCCCAGGCGCTACCACGGCATGGGCCTTATTTTTGGACGGTCTCGGGTCCAGCTGTGCGAGATATTTCTCTACTTGGTGCATGATGTGTATGATCGGTGAAGCACAACCCTCTTTTTAAACGTCAAACTGCGATCACGAATGTCCCAATATTGCGACTCTGTTTTCAGAAAAGGCGCACCGGTGGACCGTGTGTTTGGATTTATTGACGGTACAAAAAAGGTGCAGACATCTCGGATCTCAGCAACGGGCGATGGAAGAAATTTGCAGCAGCTAATTTACAGCGGTCACAAGCGCATACACTATTGGACCTTTCAATCTATTTCTGCACCCGATGACATTTGTGTGCACTTCTGGGGACCGTGTGAGGGCGTCGACATGACTCTGCTATGCTCGTAATGAGCAAGGTATTGTCTGCGTTCGACCAACACCCGGATAAATTCGAGTCAAAGTACATTAAGGCGACCCAGCCTGTGGTATGACAAAGTACGTCTTGAGGGGCTACCGTGGCATCAACTTGTCTGCTGACAAGCAAGACTTCAACAAGTCTATAAGTCGAGTGCGACAAGCCGTGGAATTGAATATTAAAGTCATGAAGACGTTGTGGCCCTACATTACATTCAAAAATCTGTCAAAACTCATGCAATCACCAGTTGCCAAGATCGTGAGCGTGGCAATGCTATTGACTAATTTCCACTGTTGTCACTTTGGAGGAAACCAAATCAGTTTGTACTTTGATCATCAGCCACCAACATTAGAAGAGTATCTTGATACAGTGGTCATAGTTGATTTGTAAAGATATATAGTAATCAAAGTCAATTACAAGAGTCGTAATCAAAGCAGTCATGGTAGTTTGGAGCGCTAGAATTTGTTGCAACTGGGCCTCACGTTCCCTGCCATGAGCCTCACGCTCTCTTGCTTGGGCCTCTCGTTCCTTCTGACGCTCTTCCAGCTCCTTCTTGAACATGAACTTGCGCAACTCAAGCTCGTTCTTGTTTGCGTCGTTCATTAATGTGAGCACCTTCATCATCTTCCCGTCAGTCGATTCGTCATCACCTTCTCGACCTTTTCACTTCCCTTGTGATCTCATTGCCTCGTCATGCACGATGGCACCAGACTCTTCAACTCGCGCTGCAGCCTCCACCTCGCTTGCTGCACGACGCATGTCCTCCTGCTTCGCCTCTTCAACCAGAGCGCTCAGATCGTCCAAATGGATCGTTTTCTCGGTGACTTCCTCGTCGACCCCAGATGTACGCTGCGAAGCGTTGTTGCGTTCTCCGTGGTCCCTCAGCAAGATGTTGAACTGGGCTTGGGCTTTTTTGCCGTCGAATTGATGTCGGTCAAACTTCGCGAGGGTGTTCAAGTTACGAGCAATAGAGTCCCAAACATCCATAATCCTTCCTCGACGGGCAAGGTGCGGTCTTTCTGCATATATCTGGGTGAGGAGCAAAATGTCCTCACGATCACTGAAGATCCGTCGCTTTGAAGGCGTGGCCATTTGCCCAAAAGCGGAAGGATTGTATTCCTGTCCGGGCCAAGTGCGACGGGATCGTTTATAGAATGTCGGGAGTTCCTTAATAGAATAGGGAGTTTCAGAGCCAACACATGTTGGGAAGCGCAATGGGAAAGGAAAAGTCGATTTCGAAACATTTCTATTTTCGACACGCTGGAGACGCTCGGATTTGGACCTAAATTCATGTCGTGGGCCAGGCTGTTGTATACGAATCCTTTGGTTCATCTCCGCATCAACGGTCTCAAGTCGGAGTCGATCCACCCTAACCGTGGCGACAAGCAGGGAAATCCTTTGTCGTCTCTGCTGTTCGTCTTCACACTGGAACCTCTGAACCAACTCCTGCAGGACCATGAGGGGTATGGCATCGAGCTCACACACGACCATACCGCAACAACATTGATGTTTGCTGATGGCGTGACCTTGTCGACTTGGCATTGCTCACCTACAAGAGCAAGTGGAGCTGGTCAATCAATAATGTGCTGCGTCGGGGGCCAAATTAAACATCGACAAGACTCAGATCCTAGTGCTGAACTCCAACCAGCCCATACCGTTTTTGCGGGGCCTGTCGTTTGCTGCGTCGGGCCGTCCGATACGCTACCTTGGGATCTTGCTGGGTCACAAACTACCAGCATCGTTCAAAGTCAGCCAAATGACGGATAAACTCTACGAGATCTTTCGTACCTGAGGTTGTCGAGCACCACCATTCAAGGACGGCAACTGCTGGTGCAAACAGTGATTCTGTCTATCTTGTGGCATGTTACAGCAGACATCCCTGTGCCACTCCACCAAGTGCCGCATGGTAATTGCTGGCGAAGAAGCTCGTCCAGTCGAGGACGACTGATCCTATATAAAGGACGGTCTCCCTGATGCAAACGGTGCATCAGTACAACCGATCAGTAGGGTGGAGAGTACCTCATCTCGCCTCGATCATTGAATCGCAACGGCTCTCTCGCTTGTGCCTCCTTCTGCGGGCACTTGCGGAACCCGACAACATGTGGGCCTGTCTTGCCAACGAGATGTTCGAGGCTGCACTCAACCCTTGTAATCAACCGGACGTTCGACTTCCTACATTTACCGCCAAACTCACGTAGTGACGTCGAACTCCTCGCAAAGGTGTCGCCGCTGTGGAACGACGCGAGGAAAACTTGGCATCATCTACCTATGAACTAAAGTTGCCACGCCAAGCCAACACTGGCTCGGCTGTGCGAGATGCCAGTGTGGCGTCAAATCAACACGCTCTTTCGCATCTCGCTTCACGGCCCATCCACCACCCCACTCACGTCCTTCAGTCACAAAGGCAAGGAGTGGTACGAACACATGATGCGATCAGGTTTCCATTGCCTGAAGGATTTCCTTACCCCGGCATTCGTCTGGCCTACTGCAGACGAGTTCGACGACATTGTTGTGCCGGCGATGCGGCGGTTGAGTATCATGGTCCTGTACCCTACTCATTGGCACCGATATACGCTCGAATTACCGCCATTGCACACGGAGTGTTCGAGTTCACGGGACATGCTCTGCATGATCCTGTCCAATTCGAGGTCCTTGGCAACTGCCGTTTAACGCCACATATGTAAGACCCTTTGTTTTCATAACTCCTTTCTCAAACAAGATGTCACCGTTTCTGAAGCCTACAGGACGTTTCAGGTGAATCAGTGATGATTTCCACAAGTTCAAATAGGCGTATATCTTGTACTGTATAGTTAGCAATTCACCACGACCTTTCCCTAAAGATCGATGGCGGGCTCAATGCTCTTCTGCTTCGAGGGATGCGCCGATGACTTTTGCTTGTGGGCGTACTTGAGCATGCTGTAGTCGAGGCCGTAGCTATATAGGTTTGAATGAAATGAGAGCAAGTGTGAAAGAACTTTCGAATTGACACAAGCGAAACAGACTTCAAGCTGTGAGGAACACGCTGCATAAGGCAACCCCATGAATAGTCGCAGCTAGGGCGGGTAAAGCGCTTGGTGGCGCCCCAAAAACGACTCGATTGGGTTGAGATCTCAGCAATAGTTGGGGAAGAACAGGCACTGATGGCTTGTTGCCACAACCGCCTCCTCCAAAACCGACTTCTGGCCTCGACAGTCGTTCTGTGGCAAAGGCAGTGGAGAGCACAGCACCGGAGCCTCAAAAGATCGTTTGGCATGTCGTCCATCCCATGTACACTTCCTTCTTCCATTATGCATACTTGTTACAGATGTGGATCATCCAGCGGCGGGCCGTTGCTTTCCGACGCCGACGTCTTGGTGGCGCGTTCGCTGGATGGACAGTATTTATCAAGTTTTTCAAAACATAGTGATAATTTTCTCGAATCTCCTGTCAATTCAGGATGGACAGAATCATTCAAACACCTTGAAAGTTTTGAGGCGTCGGCATCGAAGGAAGGGTTGAGCGCAACATTGACCGCACTTGTTCTGGAAGTCCTCGTCGTAAATCTACGACGGTGTCTTCTGGTAAGTCCCCGGTAGGATCTTGGGACACATACAAAGCACTGGTACGCCATTGCCCAGTTTTGAATTATTCTAGGGCCAAGCTGAAGCGCACTGGGAGATAGGTTGCAGAAACCGCACTTGTGTCACCCCGTCGATAGGGTGCTCAAGAACTTTGAACTAGGAGCTGCACAAGTAAACCGGACAGAATTGCCTTCTCGCGCAATTGATAGTTTCAAAGTACTCCAATATCCTAACGCTCCGCTGCGGCAATGCATTGACTGGTTTGAACAGTTATCGAGCGTGTTCATATGACAAGCCCTGTGGACCTGAGCAGTCACTGCTGCCTTCCGCTGCTTAGTTCGTTTGCTTGGCTCATCGTAGACCAGTAGCCCCTTTCTATTCATTGCCAGCTAGCTATTGAAATCACCGCCCTATATACTACTCTGGTCCACAAAAAGAGTCACATATTTCTTCTGATTGGCGGCATTTTTTTAATACATCGAGTTGAGGCCATCTAATTGGCTTACAAGAAAGCGCATGATCTCAGTTTTGATTGGCTGTGTTTTGAGCTTTCCAGATCGATTTTGTTG